GCTGGAGGTGCTGGCAGATTGGAAGCGGGCTGCCGCGTAGGCGTGGGTCGTGTTCCTGCACCCACTTTTGGTCTTGGGGTGGGAATTCGTTGCACGCGTCTCTGTCTACCTGGTACAGATGGCAGTGGTATCCTTTGTTCGTGCACAAAGCCGGGCAGAGGCATTGACCACTGCTGGCGGTCCCGAGGAGAGGCATCTCTAGACCTGGTTCCGGTGGCAATGGTTTCCTGCGTTCGTGTACAAAGCCGGGCGGAGAAATTCATCGTCGCTGACGTTCCCGAGGAGAAACAGTGCGCGCGTCCTTGCCCGCGCTGCTGCTACTGCCTTCTGTCTGCTGCTCTGTGGGTTCTTCGTCCGCGCCTGGGAATTCTGTCGTCAGGGTGCGCGTTGCAGACATGGCCGTACGGGGGACCTTAACTTGTGATTTCGTGGCAGGCGCAGGTGGAGGACGTCCCGTGCAGATTTCGTGGCTGCCGCGCTTTCCCATACCTTTGCGGCTGGGCGACTGTGCCACGACTATTTCTCGTAGCACAGAATCCCTCTTAAAGCTAGTCGTCGTCGGGGGGACTCTGCCACGACTACTTCTCGTAGCACAGACTCCCTCTTAAAGGTCGTCGTCGGGAGGGGGACTCTGCCACGACTACTATAACGAGTTTTCCACTTAAGAATTTATAAGTATAAGATATATCTTCAAAAATATTCCACGTGAAACCTAAGTTATAAGTTAGTTATAAGTTCCCCACGTTAACCTGCCCCCTTTTTTGTTTAAAGGTTGTTTTTTTTTTGGTTCGGTTGCATTTTTTTTGAGGTGAGGCTCGCCCACCCAAAACTTGAAAGTATTTTTGGCATTATTTATGGAACAGGGCGCCGAAAAATCAATCACACCAAACTTGCTGACCATGTGTGCGTTTTTTTTCTGTGGGCCCGCTCGCCCAGAAATTGCGTTTTGTTGTTTCGTTTTTTGTTTTCAAAGACACATGCGTGGACACTGAAAGCATAATCGCCGCACTTTTTTTCCGCGTGTCCCCCCAGCAGTTCCTGACAGCAGGGCGAGCCTCTGCCATCACTTCAACTTGCGCACATAGTCCACCACGCGTGGCCAAACCTCCTTGGCTGGTTTCCCTTTCCAGCTGAAGGACTTGTCCTTTTTTTCACCTTCCTTTTTCACTCGCCAGCTGCTGCTATTCGGGCAGGTATAAATCACAGCCACACCAGAACGCATCGGATCTCTTTTTTTGATCCCTGGAAAACTGAGTGTTGTCTCGGTCTCAGGTTTTTTCTCTTCCGTGCTGTTCTTTTGTTTTTTGGCTTTTGGTTCATCATCACAATCCTCGGCTTTCTTTTGTTTCTTGTTGTTTTTGTTCTGAGCCAATTGGTCTCCAATCATAGCGGCCATCGCATCGATTGCTTTGGCCTGCGCAGGGATAACCTTTGGCTGCTGTTCTTCTTGAGTTTCCTCATCACAATCCTCCAAAGCTAGCTGTGGCGCTTTCCCGGTTTTTGTTTGCTTGTGGTCCAACATCATGAAACCTGGAAGAGCATTGTACTGCTTCCCATGGCCATTGGCCATCCCTCGCATCAACATATCAGCAAACCAAGTCTTGAAAGACTCGTCTCTTGTTGAAGTGCGACCCTTGTTGCCCCCAGAGACTGCGGTATGGGTACGCCTTGCAGGTAGATCGTTGCACAATCTCTGCAGGGTCATGATGTCTAAAGGACACTTCGCAGGTGTACCTTCTTGGTAAGCATGCTTTTTGATTTCATCAGGAAGCTTTGCGGGGTCATCTGGGTAGACCTGCAGTCCACTGTGTGTGACTCCTTTGCAAACATTTTTCAACACGTGCTTAAAGTCACTCAAGATTCCAAAGCCGTTGGAAACCTCATAGGTGAACTCGTCCGCGCATTCTTGATGACTAGCCAACACAAGGATAGCAATGCACATGACATAGGTAGGCTCCGAAGGAGATGTCAAACCCAGCAAAGCACACCGTTTGCTCAGCAACGCCAATTTTGTCCCAATCGTGTGCCTTTGGCTCTTCAATGTTTCCCACTCACCGGCAGTGAAATAGTTGTAAATGTGCAAATTTCTTTGCATACACACCCTCTTTTTTTTTCCTCCAGTTTGTGGTTCTTGTACCGAAGACATCACCATCTCCTGGATGCATTTCGAAATGTCCTGTCTCATCCATTCAGGAAGCTTTGCTTCATGAACCTTTTCCAGCATGTTCGTGCCTTCCAGTGGAGAAAAACCAGGGCTTTGGCGAATATCAACCAAGCAACCTTTTAGTAGTCGCTGTTGCATATCAGTTGAATCCTTGTCACTTGTGAATTGCCTCAATGTGGCCAGAAAACCCAGCATATCTGAAAGCCTGTCTAATGCGCTGGCCATGGTGAATGAAAAAGAGGCGAGCCTTCAATACAAATCCTAAAAATGTTGCGGAGTCGTTTGGCAATGTCAGAAATCATTGTGTTCGAAGAAACACAATGCATAAGATTTCAATCTACTTGAATGCAAAAAGGCCCATTTTTCTCTATAGAAGCTGTCTCCATCCCATTGAGGCAAATGTTTGCCAGCAAGCGAGCCTTGCTTAAATTTGGGAACCCGCTCAGCTCGAAGACGATGACATGAAGCGATATCGCATCGGTGCATTGGATCGCGGTGCATTGGATCGTTTGCTTTTTCCAGTGACCTTCTTGGCACTGGCCAGCGACTTCTCTTTCGCCTTCTTCATGGCCTTCATGGCCTTCATAGCTTTCAAAACTTTCATAGGCTTCACTTTTTTCATTGGTTTGGCTTTGGTATCTTGTGCAGCTGCCGCCTTCACTGCGCACTCCTTCATGTACTTGTCAAAGTTGGCACAAGCTGTCAAATAGGCATCAGACCGCAATCCCAGCGCCATGGTTGTCTTCTTGAGATGCAGGCGAATTACACCCAAAATAGGATGCAGCACAGCAATCATCAGTGGCACCGGATACGCATTCCCTGAACCTTGTACCCGCAGGGTATCCGGTTCACCAGCAAGGACATCTTTTGAAAAGCCCTGCAGCACCATCCTTTCCTAGATTGCCAATTGAATATCAAAAGCATTGCATAGATATATTTACACACTATATGATTATATCTATGATTAACATATACATATATATACACATATTTGAAAATTTGTTTAGTTATATTCATTTCCTGTGCTTTCTGACTAAGCATCCGTCGGTGATATCTGTATATGTGCTGAGTTGTTTTGTCGCTGTCTCTATCACCCTTTTAGTCCTGAACCCCCAAAAATGCGTGTCTAATGAAATGCTCAAGGGTCTGAAGGATGTAAGAAACGATGGAAGCCCTTCTTGGAATTCCCCTTGTTCACCGATGTGATGAAGAGATACCTGTTTGTTGTAGTGAGAGTCGGCACGATATTCACTGTGCATTTCCTTTGGTAAACCTTCCCTGTGGACCTGTCCAGAGGGATCACAATGATGTCGCCTTCCTTGTATGTCCCAGCCTTCACCATCTTTTTGACGTCCTTCTCAGCATCTTCTAGGTTTTTTCGCATCACCTCAGTCAAAGTGGATGTGTCAATTGGTTCAAGGCCGTGGTCCAAGAACTCACTCAAATCACGTCGTCCAAATGGTGATAGCGGCGCAGGGATTCCAGCTGCAATCGTAGTCCTTAGACCTCTCAGAAAGATACGGGTCCGCTGCTGTGCCAGCAGGTAGTCACAGGCAGAAAGTTCCACCTTATCCCAATGGAATTCTGGGACTTCTTGCCGGAGAATGAAAAGCATCTGGTCCAGGAAGGATTCATGCTGGCCAGGAAGCTTGTTGCAAATTCCGCGCACGTTCTCCAAAATTGCTGCCTTGAGCTCGCCCGACTTGGCCAATGCGATGACCATCCTGACAACTGACAGGAAGACCTCCGCTCTCATGTCCATTTGGCCGCCGTGGGACCCATTTCCTGCCCACGGCGGGCAGGGTGGTCCGGAGCACAACAGGTCAACCGGCCTCTCCAACTCATCGATGTTGATTGAATTCACATCCCCATGGTGCCCCACGTGAATTGCACAACCTGGTAAATGAGCTTCGAGGTAAGGTCCATATCTTGCCTCCACATCCATCACATTGTTCGCTTTGAATGGCACAGACATCATTTGAAGGGCAGTGCCACAGCCATCGATTCCACAGCAGGGCATACTGACGTGAACGCGTCGAGGAAAGCTGCCCAAGCATGGCACAAGCGAGGCCCAGTCATTGGGCTGTGGGGGCGAGCCTCCCACAGTGCAAACCCCCTTTTTTCCCACCATGGTGTGGGCCTGGAAATGGCAAATCCTAAAGTTGCAATCAAAACCAAATGCATATAGAAAAAACATTTGCACATTTAGTATGTTTCAACTCATTTGTGACATCAAATGACAGAATGAATCAAATTGGCACCAGGACTGTTCTTGATAAATGCGCAAGCCGTCAAATCAGCCCACCTTTTTCCCAAAGATCGGAATTCGGCCGCAATACTGGCCGCAATGTATGTCATAATTGAACACCTCAGGCATCTAATGCGTTGGCATACCCAACGCAATCAACCATGAGGAAAAAGCAGGAAGCTTCAAATTTCTGCATCGCAGGCGAGCCTTGCAAGCAATTATGCAGCAGCAGGGGATGGCTCTTCGTTCTGGCCAGAGGTCAAGGAAGCAGAGTTTGAGTCTCCATCAACTCCATCATCATCACATTGTCCATGGTATAGCTTGCAAAAATCACAAGAGCACTCTGGTTTGTGTTGGTCTTGCTCCCACCATCCTGGAAACAACCTGTCGAGCTTCTCACCTAGCGACTCACCCGGCTTTGTGTTGGTTTGGCTGTCGGTTGTAGCCACCTTAGGTTCTTCATCTTCAGATGAAGAGTCAACCTCCCCGAAGATCAAGGTCCGCTTCTTCAAAATGCGCGGTATTTCATCCACATGGATTGGCTGGCTTCGCTTCAAGCCGCGCGACATGGCCATTGTGAACAGTTATAATGATTTGTTTGCGAAAGGGAAAATGTGCAAAATAAAAATATCACACAATTGTCGTGTCACTGACTGTCTTTATCACCCTTGTTGAGTGCGTGCTTGAACCCACCATGTGTTCTATACCACTCTGCATGCTGCTGGCTTGAATCAGCGCAACACAAATTCACAGCTATGCCATGGTAAAATGAAAAATGCAGTGAATGAAGCAATGCAATGGATCATATGGAGAAGCTTGCATACCATGTCGTTATAATATATTCTAATTTATCACTTATTGCTGTTTCCCTGATGCCCTCCCGGGGTTGTTGTTTGTTTTTTGTAGACCTCCCCCATGACTGTTTCTCTGAGGCTCGCCCAGGGTTGTGGTCTCTTCCATGACTGTTTCCCTGA